AATCCACATTCCAGACAAAGTGCACAGAGCAAATGCCAGAATCCCATCACTGCCCTGGCCTCCAATTCACTGCTGCATGTCCTCACTACTTATATTTCATGCCAGGCATTGCTCTGGTTGCTAGAAATTCAGAAAGAAATACTATGCACACTGACTGGAAGGGGACATCACACATCATGAATGTTTTGGGAAATGATGTTCTATTTTTTTTTTCCATTTTGCTGCAAAGGGAGCATATTGTGCATCTGACATATGTGACTACTTTCCTCTTGAAATGTTCATTTATTCATCTCATTGATACACTATCCTCTCCTGATTCCCATCCTATCTCAAAATAGAATTTAGGAGCAGTCTCCAATATTTATTGCTCTTTTATTGCTAAAAGGCTGTTATTCTCTGAGGCAGCACCATTAACCTTTGTGGCTAGTCTGAAGAAGCCTGAATGAGAGTATGGCTTTCAATGCATGCCTATATTCACAGAATGTTTGAATCTTCTGTCATCATTCCAGGGCCAAGCCTCCATGTAGGGTCAGGCTCTGATGATAGGAATCACATTTGGAGTCTGAGTGTTGTGTCCAAGGTCAGCATGAATGCCTAAGGCAGCATCTGTTTTATTTATCGTATAAACTTTGTATAGGAGGACAACATTTGGTAGCATGTGGCCAACAAGGATCAGATGTGTTACTTTAAGATATGAGTGTTTAGATTTCACGGAATTTTTTACAATGTATTTGCTTTAACTTGTTTTATACCTCTGTAATTGTACAGCTCAAATTCATAGATTAATTCAAGTAATTCAATAATTATTTGAAAAATGGCCACTCCATGCTAAACCTCACTTGGCATTTCAGTGAGCAAAAACCAGACATGGCACCTGGTTTTCTAGAAATTCCAGGAGATCTCATGCAAAATCAGCATACGATATGTGGTATAAACACAAAGCAGGGTATTTTGAGGACAGTAATTTACTGGAGAGGGTGGGGTTACAAAAATTCCTCTGAGGAAGCTACATTGAATTCTTCACCAAAGAAGAAAAGTAATTGTTGTCTTGTGGAGTGGTAGAATCCTGAATGATGAAAGGAGGTTTTGTGCAAGTAGTTGGAGTAGATCATTCTAGGCAGAGGGAAGATCAAGAACAAAGACTCTGAGACAGGGAAACTCTTAATTCATTTTGAGGAAGAAAGGATTCCCAGAGATTAGGGGAAAAAAGCAACAGTGGTCTAAAATGTTGATGGAGAGGTGAGTAAGCCAGATCATTTAAAGTTTTCCGACCATGATGAATAAAATATTTTTTATTTTAAGAGCAGTGTAAATCCATTAGTGATTTTTTGTTTTTTGTTTTATTTGTTGTTTAGTTTTACCATGGGCTCATGTGTTCTAGCAGATGTTTTAAAAATGTAGTTTGGGGGCACATGGGTGGCTCATTCGGTTGTGTCCAACTTGATTTCTGCTCTGGTCATGATCTTAGGATCTTTGGGCTCTGGGCTCAGCTTGAAGTCTGCTTCTACCATTTGCTCTTCTCTCCCTCTCTCTCTCCCCCTCTTTTTTCCCTTCTCTGTCTCTCTCAAATAAATAAAGGAAGAAAATCTTAATAAAAAAGAAAATAGGTTTGGTTTTTCTGGGGAGAATACATGTTTAGGGGGAAGGGCGAAAACAATAAAAATAGCTGGTAAATTATTATAATAGCCAAGGAACAAATAAGAATATTATGTACCAAGACAGTGGTAGTGTATAGTGTATACGTGAGAAGTGGATAGGTTGTGGGTATGCTTGAGGCTGGAAATGAAAGAAAGAGGTGAAGGATTTGATAGCCAGGAGAAGGAAGGAAAGAGACGCATCAAGAAAGCCTCTTGAGAGTTTTCTTAAGCAATCCTGTGATTCGTGGAGTCATTTTATGATATCAGGAGGAAATGGGGAAAGGATTGATTTCTGAGGAAAACCAAGTATTTTTTTGTTATAATAAGAATTTTTGGATTAAATATGCAGACGAAGATATAAAGTACATGGTTGTATCCATGAGTCTGAGCTCATGGCAGAGGTGAGGACTTTGAGGAGCAAATTTCAGCCTACCACACAGAATAAAAATTAATACTACCCCCACCCCCCATCTGGGAGCTTACAATTCGGTATGTAACAGAGACCTTAGTTAATCTGTAGTCTCATGAATATCACACTGTAAATTGAATAAGCTATATAAAGATAAATATATGTTACCAACATAATAGATATGTGGGGAAAATCTGTCTCAGGTAAGGTGCTTCCTGAAAAGTGATGGCTGAGTTGCAGAGAAAAAATACAAGATTATTTTACAAAGAGGAGGAAGAGGTTGGGGAGAAGATGGGAAAGACTATCTCTGTGAAAAGAACATCTCAGGCAGAAAAAACATCTGAAAAAACATCTCCGGAAAGAAGAGAAATGGTGCTTTTGAGAAAGAAAAGAAGTGCTCAGGGTGGACACATTTTTTTTTCAAAAGGTAAAGACTCCAATCATTCAAGGAAGGAGACAAATAAAAATAGTGGGCTAAATTATTTCACATGGAGAGGGGCTCAGGGCAAGAATTAACAGTGGAGGAGATTCTAGAAGGGGTCTGATAGGGATACAGGGTGCATTCAGAAGAAGGGTAGCCTGAGGGTTGCCTGTTGTGCTAGGATGACAAAGATGAGGAATGGTCCACAAGGGGAAGCCAGACTCTGAAGTTAATGGAACATGTTGGAAGGGTGAAATGAAACATAAAAACCCGTATGGACTTTAAAATCCCTGCCTACACTCTAAGAGCCATTAACTCTTTTATGATGACTCCCAGGACCAGAACCCTAAGAAGGGAAACAATGTGTGGAAGAAGACAATTAATGCTTTCAAGGAGGCTATTTAAAATTCTGGACTTAACTATGCACATTGGCCTTCTTTTTGATCTTTAGAATGCTAGGTTCTAAGGAAGAGAAAAAAATTGCTCACTCCTTCAATAAATGCATATTAAATGAATAGTGAGCCTACTGATTCAATGAGTGAATAAGTGGGTAGAGAACACTGGGCTGATGTCAGAAGCTGAGAGTCTTCAACCCAAGTCTCCCTGTCACAAGGGCATAGGTAAGCTGAACATCTCGGCGTGAGAGCTCTCATGGGAGATCACTCATTAAAGGTCTCATGCATAAATATGTCTCTTTGCTTGTCACTGCAGAGAAAAAGTACTTGTTGGCTGTGTCATCCAGAGTGGAACAATACAGTAATGTCTTAACTAAGGACTGTTTGGAGGAAAAATTCACTTGGAGACAGCAGAAAGTGGAAAATTATGGGTACACAGTGATTAGTTAAATAGATTCTGGATACTTAATGAATTGAAGGGGAGGAAACTAATAATTACTTTGAGAACCTCAGCTCTCAATTTTACAGCTACGTCCTTTGACCAGAATCCCTGAGAAGATATCCCAGGCAACATATCCTCTCTGGAAATTAGTTTCTTCCTCTAGTCTATTCATTTTCACTGTGGGTTCTAAGGACATCTGTGCACCTGCCAGTGGATGAATAATGGCTCTGAAATGACATCGGGAGGACACTATTCTCTTCCAGGCAGCAGATAATACATCTTTATTTTTTTAATTTTTTAATTTTTTAAAGATTTTATTTATTTATTTGAGAGAGAGAGAGAGAATGAGAGATAGAGAGCACGAGAGGGAAGAGGGTCAGAGGGAGAAGCAGACTCCCTGCTGAGCAGGGAGCCCGATGTGGGACTCGATCCCAGGACTCCGGGATCATGACCTGAGCCGAAGGCAGTCGCTTAACCAACTGAGCCACCCAGGCGCCCGATAATACATCTTTAAAGATCAGAGTTGCTCGGCTAACATTTCCTACACTTAATTAACTTTAAGCACAATTTTATTAGCAATTTCACTTAACTCATCAGAAAATGGAGCATTTCCTTTGAAAAACACTTTCTTGCTGCCTGGAAGAAGTATCCCAGTGCCAGAATGATTGCTTTGAGAAGCCCTAGCATAAATTCTTCGTCATTCTCACTGCATTTTCTGGCCTGGAGCAGCAATATCCCTGGATCTCCCTTCCCTTCTCCACCATCTATGCCATGGTCTTCCTGGGAAACCGCCTGGTGCTGCATGTGATCCGGACTGAGCCGAGCCCCTGTGCATGGGGCTGTCCACAGTGCACACGATGCTGGGCATCCTGTGGGGGTTCATTCGAGAAATCAGCCTGGATTCCTGCATTGCCCAGTCCTACTTCATGCATGGTTTGTCTTTAATGGAGTCCTCTGTCCTCCTCACTATGGCCTTTGATAGTTATATCGCTATTTGCCATCCACTGTGTTATTCCTCCATTCTGAATAATTCCGGGATTTTCAAAATTGGGCTCACCATAGTAGTGAGGAGTTTCTTCTTTATTACACCCCCTATCATCAATCTGAAATTTTTCCATTACTGCAGTTCCCACATCCTCTCTCACTCATTCTGCCTGCACCAGGACCTTCTCTGCTTAGTTAGCTCAGACATCAGATTTAATAGCTACTATGCCCTGAGGCTGGTCATTTTCACGCTGTTGTTGGATGCTGTTCTGATCCTTTACTCCTAGGGCAGTCCTGGCAATTGCCTCTCAGGAGGAGTGGCATAAATCGTTTCAGACCTGCATCTCCCACATTTGTGCTGTTCTGATGTTCTACATCCCTATCATTAGCCTAACAATGGTGCACTGTTTTGGCAAACATCTCTCCCCTGTGATCCATGTACTTATGGGCAACATCTACATCCTTTTCCCACCTTTGATGAACCCCATCATCTACAGTGTCAAGACCCAGCAGATTCAGAGCAGAATGCTCACACTCTTTTCTCTGAAAATATGTTGTGATGCTCAGGTCTTTTAAAGAACGAAAGAGCAACAATAATTAACACACACTATGTAATATGAAAACATGAATTTTATTGGAATTAGAGCTTTAGCGCAGAGTGTATGATTCTTGATTTTAAAACATATATAAACATAAATCCAGAGAATCACCTATGAACAAGTTCCATTTTAACCTAAGTTTTTAAAAATTTTTTATTGTTATGTTAATCACCATACATTACATCATTAGTTTTTGATGTAGTGTTCCATGATTCATTGTTTGCATATAACACCCAGTGCTCCACGCAGAACGTGCCCTCCTAAATACCCATCACCAGGCTAACCAA